TCCGTGGAGGGAGGGCTCTCTGCCGCCCACAGCTTTGATGTCTGGACAGCAAGGAGGGTTAGGATTTGGAGCGGGGTTAGCTCGGAGCTGAGGAGAACCTCTCTGCTCCAAGCGCTGAGGTTAGATCTTCCAAGCGTGTGCATCGGTGTTCGGTTCAGCCTTGTGCAGGGACTGGTGGGGTGGGATGGTTATCAGGCTGTCCAGAGACACATCCTGAAGGAGAAAAATCACATTGCATTAGTGTGTCTGCAGCAGGTGTAATTGGCTGTTTAGTTCTTTTAATTGTCTTCTGCTGAAGTCCTAAATAGTAATTTCTTATCTGAATAGAGCGACAGGGAGCGGGGTGAGGGTAACCAGGAGAAATTAATTACGTTGGTTTAAATTCGTGCTGCAGGTCACGCCAAAATACGGCCTGGTGTAAACAAGGCTGGTGTTTGTCCGTGCAGCTGGGTTTGGCCGTGCCCATGGCTGACACCCCTTGTCAGCAACAGATCATTCTTGTAGTGTAGCCAAGGCTTTAAAACAAAGACGGTCATCAGCGGTGTTGGGTAGCTCGGGGACAGAGGTGGCATTGTGCTGGTGGACAAAGCAAAGTGGCTTCTGAGCCCTGCGTAGCAAGAGGAGGCAAGAATATTGGTTGATACGAGTATTTTTCTGGATTTTTGTTGCCAGCTGCTAAAGATTTACAGTGAACCCGTGCTGCACTTTCACCAGTTTTGAAATACTGTTTCCTTTCTAAATATAATAATAAAAAAACCCTAAAATCAAAACACCTTGTCGAAACTTTTTTTTATTTAACGTACTGCTGGCTTTTGTGAATCGTTGTTTATACTTGTGAGTACTATTGTGGCACAAGTAACACGTGTTTAAAAGTGAGTTTTCATTTTTGGAGGCTGCTGGTGCTTTGCCCCGTGTGCAGCTCTTGGGTGGGGAGCAGCAGAGGACGTGCTGCCCGAGGAGGGGAAAAGGGAGCTCCACGGCACCGTTTGTGGTGGCATTCACAGAATAAAACTGCATTTTATTGCTGCCGGGGGAAATTCAAAGGACGGTGACGGCTTTTTGGTGTTTGCAGTGAGTAGATCCAGGGCTCTCTGTAGTACATGTGCTGTAGTTGGGTACCGCTTCTTGGAAACTGCGCTTCAATATGCCACGCTCACATGGGGACTGGAAAAAAAGAGAGGGGACCTTATAAATGCTTATAGGTGTCTCAGGGGTGGGTGTCAGGAGAACGGGGCCAGATTCTTTCCAGTGGTGCCCTCCACAGCCTCCCTGGGCAGCCTGTGCCAGGGCTCCGTCACCCTCAGAGGGAAGAAGTTCTTCCTCCTGTTCAGCTGGAACTTCCTCTGCTTCAGTTTGTGCCCGTTGCCCCTTGTCCTGTCACTGGGCACTACTGGAAAGAGTCTGGCCCCATCCTCCTGACACCACCCTGCAGATATTCTGGCTTCTCTGGCAAAGACATGTTTTGACTCTACAGCTGGTGCTGTAGCTACCAGAACGGAGATGGTGTCACACACCATCTTCCGAGAAGGTCGTTGCTCCATCCATCTGCCCCGTGTTGCTAGGACTGGGAATGCACCGGGGTTTCATGTGAAAACAAGTGTCAAGGATGTGTGCAGTTCAGGATGTGGTGAGAAGATGTTCCTGAGGGGTTGCTCTGGGCAATGGCTGCTTCTGCCTGGGCAGTCATGAACTGTGCTGCTGGTGTTTTTACTTTTATATATGTATGTAAAGCATAGGGAAGAGTTATACTTTTGTGTTTTCTGAAAGAAAACACCAAAGAAGCCATAACGAGCGCTCGATGCAGGTTCCACATGTAGCTAGAGAGCCTTTCCCTCTCGCATTGCTGCCGCGCTGAGTCTCCTTGCTGTCTTTGTCGGAGCGTGGGTCGGTTGAACCCAGCCCAGACAATTAGTTGGGGTATTTATCTACAGTGGAATGTCGTGGGGTTTTTTTCCTGCCAGTGGAAACCCTGCTTTCTGCAGATAATGTCCCTTCCTCCGAATGCTTTTTATTCTCTGACTGCGAGGGGTATTCTAGTCAGCATTGTCGTACCCTTTATCAGCTTATCTCTGCAGTGATTCCCCACAGCGAGTCGAGGAAACTCAGCGCTTTATTAAAAACTCTATCATCTTTTAGAAAAATGCTTTTCTCTTAGAAAACAATAGCAGACACACACGTGTGGAGTCTTACTGCATTTTAGTGAATCGAAGAGGACTGCAGGATTGACCTATCCCTGCGTTGTTCGATTCGGGAACAGTAGCACTTCAGGATTTCAATACTCGGCTTCAAAACAAGCGATGAAAGTTTCTGGTGAACCCAAGAAAGTGTTGTGAAGATGGTGTTCTGCTGTGTCACTCTTTGTTTTCCATCCTGCTGCGCCGTTCTCTAGGAGTGTTACAGACCAGTATTGAGCAATGGAAAGAGAAAAGTCTTTATCCGTGCCTGTGAGAAGAACTGTTTGTTTATATGAGTATTCCTGTTAACAGTTCAGAAGTGAATTCTCAGAGTACTGTTTTGCTAGCAAAAAAGACCTCAGTAAAACTGAATAATAAAATATTTCAATAATTTCAATAAAATTACAGTTTTAACTGTAATAACACCTTTAAAACATGGTTTTAACTTTCACAGTTCTCTCTGGTAGAGACATCATTCAGTATATGTTAATTGCGTGAAAATCTTAATTATTCATATAACAAAGCAACTAATTTAAAATAAAAAAAGTCAAGCAAACAAAAAATAACCCGAACATACAACTTGTAAAAAGAAATTTACTTTTAACTAGATTTTTTTTCCACAAGGCTTGATGATTTTAGGAGATGATTTGCATCCTTTTTTGCGACGGGAATAGAATTTGGATTTGTTCAGCTGCTTTGTCGTGGTTCCCACTCAGAGTTACCAGTTCTGGTACTTTAGATGTTTTTAGAGTAACATTCCTTGCAGAGCACTGCTGGGCTGCTTATCACTGCTCATATCGCATTCCAAACGAGTAGTTGGAGCAGCAGCGTATGTAAGCATCACGCCTGAAATTACACGTTCTCCTTTTTAATTTAATGGGTTTCAGCACTTTTTCATCTCTTGAGTTTTCAGTGTAATGAGAACTGTGCTGTATCAGGCAGGTTCTGGCACCAGAAACACACTGAATACCTAGTTTTCAGAAATGACTGCTCAGAATAGCCTATGAATAATTTTTGTCTAATACTACAAGGGGAAGAAAAATAGTAGCTACAGTAACAAAAGGGCTGAACTAATTGAGTAACAAGAATTCGAGCCTTTTAATGGGTGTGGGAGGACTGGATTATTAACAGTCGCATTAGAGAAAAACATTGCACCGTCTGTTCCTCTCGAAGCTTATGGCTACGTGTTTATAATAGAGACCACTTATCCTGAGGCCTGTGGGGCTTGCATTGGAGAGGGAAAAAAGTAAGAAAAAGCTTTTTAGCCTTCCTTTCAAAGCCTGATGCTGCTAGGTTCAGGGTACTGAAGGCAAGGGCTGTGTCTCTGCCCAGGAGCTTGGGTGGTGTCTCCTCCATCACAGTTCAGAAGCTCTTACAGACCATCGCTGGGCATTTAAGAGCTCTTGGCTTTGAGGGAAAAAAGGAAGAAAAAACTCTTTAGCCTTCCTTTCAAAGCCTGATGCTGCTAGGTTCAGGGTACTGAAGGCAAGGGCTGTGTCTCTGCCCAGGAGCTTGGGTGGTGTCTCCTCCATCACAGTTCAGAAGCTCTTACAGACCATCGCTGGGCATTTAAGAGCTCTTGGCTTTTTTCCTCTTTTTGTCCCTGAGATGTGGCACTTGTATTGCCAGAATCCACTCGTAAAAGTGCCAGTGACAAGATGAAACGATTGCTGCTGGCGCAGTGAGCGGCCGACGGGACGTGTAGCTGTTTGAGCACTGTCTGTGCAGTCCCAGAAGGCTTCAAACGCTGGTGAAGTTGGTTGCTTCTCCTCCTGTGATCTAAGCCGTGCCCGTTCCAACAACGTGCCTCATCCTCTGAGCATTTGTCCCCTCCTCCTTGCCCACCGTCCTTGTACTACTGTGCGGTGGTGGCTTGTCACGTAGCTGGCTCCACGGCTCTACAAAAGGAGATTTTTTAATAGTATTGGACAGAAAATACAAGAATTCTGCGTTGCGGTTGGGTTTTTTTTTGAGTAAGGACTAGTAAATAAGTAAAGCAGCAGGATGTAGTTAATCCTGCTGTATCCTAGAGATTTGGTAAGGAGCAGAGTTGTTGCTGCTTGAATTTGTTGCCTGTAAGTCTCTGTGGAATGATGCTAGCTGCGTGTAGTGCTTGGTGGGGTGATTTCTTTAGCCTCTGTAGGCTGTGTTTATTTTACTTTCCCCTTTCTAGAAAACAGTGTTAAACACCCAAACCTATTTTGTTTTTGTCACATTTTTATCACTGGATACATGGACAGTTTTGTAATTCATCCAGAGGAGTGCTTGGTGCTTTGCTGCTGCTGCTGTGAGATGTTTTTCTCCAGTAAGATAGAAACAGGCAAACTCTTTCTTCTGCCATTCAATACCTGCTTGTGACCCTTGAAACCAAGCCAGGGAGATGGTTGTTATCCCCTCACTTGCACTCACTCCAGTATGCTGACTGGTCATGCAGCAATCTAGAAGGCTCCTGCACTATGTTCTTGCTGCTGTTACTAAAGGACTAAACTCAAGTTTGTGTCAAATCTCTCAGCTTTTGTTTTTTTATAGTCATAGAGTATCGCATAACTTCACTGAGGAAGAGGAATCCATTTCACTTGTTAGTTTGACAGACCTTTGCACTTTTTCCCCTGCTAGCCATCCGTGGACCTGGTTTTAGCACCGAGGCAGCGCAAGAGATGGTGGCATAACTTGCAGCGGTGATGTAAACCGTGTTAAATCAGCCATACGTGCCAACGCTGACTTCTGCTGTGCTTAAAAACAGTTTTATCTTGTGCTGGTAGGGGTGAAGGAAACGTTCTTGGTTTATTACAGTACTAACATGTCGGTGTACCTCTTGACTTCCAGGTTGCATCACAACGCATAAGCTCAGTGGACCTTTCATGCTGCAGCCTGGAGCACCTGCCTGCCAACCTGTTTTATAGCCAAGACCTCACTCATCTCAATTTAAAGCAGAACTTCCTGAGGCTAAACCCCAGCCCGTCCACAAGCAGAGCGCTCGGTGAATTACAAAGGTAAAGTCGGTGCGGTTCTACCGGGCTTCGTCTTGCTTTGCAGCCAAGTTGACCACCGGTCTGCGGGAACTTTCCTAAAAAATGACTCCTCTTGTGGAGCGTTGGCCTGGCTGTAGTGCTTCAGAAGTTGGTGAACTCTGTGTGCGAGAAACAGACGAGCTTTCATAAGGAACTTCGTGTTTTTCTTGTAAATAGAAGGCTGTTTTCCATCCAAAATGCCGTTTTCAGAACGCGTTGTTTTTATTTACCTGCTGAGGGCAGACTGTAGTCCTGCAGTCTTTGACTCGCGTGAGTGAAGAGGCGTTGGTGAGCTGCCCGTGAAAGGGATGCATTCTAGGTGGGAACACCACCGCGTGTGACTGCCATCATTAGTGTTTTGTCACACCCTCCCCCAAGCAAAGCAAGCCCCAATTTAACAAATTCAGCCTGATTCCTGCCTTTTTTCTACTCTGCTCAACCCTAATTCTTCTTTCCTTGTACCTGCGACCTTCCAGTGGTTCCTTCTGCTGCAGCTCATCTGAAAATGGAACAAGTGTGTAGACAGCAGCGCAATCGGTGATCTGCAGGATTTAAAGTATGCGTCCTGTGGAATCGGCAGGCTTTCCATATTCAGAAAGATGAATGTTTCCATACTGAATAGAAAACTGTGATTTTAATTTCCACGGTAACTGAACTGCAGAGTAGCTCAGGATTATATTTGTGGATGGTCCTGTTCAAACGAAATGTTTTAAACCGCATTTCTAAATCCCTGCCTCTTTGAAAAACAACCAGAAAATACAAGATGGATTATGTGGGCTGTTGTATTTTTCGATAATTCCAATTTCTTTCTGGAAAAACAAAAAATTTGGCATAATGGAAGATGAATGAACCCAGCAGGTCTGCTTCACAGACAAAGCAGGCAGGGATTCCAAGATCTTATGAACACGGTCTGGAGAGGAATACTGGATTAAATGTTCTGTGAATGTTGATATAGGTCCCCAGATTGTAAGTGGAATTTTAGCCAAAAGTCACGTGATGAAGACAGACAAATAACGAATGTCTTTATTTTAACAAATTTTTATCATTTTTTCTTTTTAAGTATCAGAAAGCGTACAGGAGATACTTGATTATATTTTGTCCATGTCCATACAGCTAATTCTGTCTGGGACTAGAAAGCATTTATAAATAACGTGATGGGCAAAGTTCATTGTCCAACGTTCTCTTGGTGTACTGCAATTGTAGGATTAGCTGAAAAGTCTTGCAGAAAATTAATGAACCGTTAAAATTTTTCTCGCTAGTGTGAGCCTGAACATGCAAGAGTGAAAGGGTTGAGGTGAGCAAGTAAAACTCTCTTGTTTTCTGAGATTCTGCGTCAGGAAAATCTGGAGGAGTGGCGTACATGGTGCAACACCGATGGAGTGTCTGGTTCTTCTGAGAGCTGGTCCTGTTCTGTCAGGGAGCAATAGTCTGCTCTGCCTCCACTGCGTTGGGCTTGCCAGGAAGGGATGGGGAGAACTTTTGGAGCGAAAAAATGAATGGACAGGAGGGTTACGCTGCACTCTTTCAGCGGATCAGAGCCAGTGCCTCCTGAGCTCCTGCCCCTTGGTGCTGACCTGCTCTCTGCCGCTGGCGATGTCCTCCAGCCTTACCGGCATCCAGCGCAGGCAGCGGCAGCTGGGAGCTGCTGGCGCCGTCCCCCCTG